ATTTTAAATTGCTGTTTTTTTTTTGTTTTTTTTTTCCTATGTTGATTTTTATTCCTGTCACGTTTCAACACGGTTGGGAAAAATTATGAAATCACGCTTCCAAAGTTAATGCATAGCTTTTATTTTAACCTAACGAAAATGGTAATATAAAGTGGGAATTAAAGCCTTCTCATTAAAGACGTTTTCTTAAGAAGTTTGCAGCTTATCAGTAAGCACCATTAGCTTTTCAAACATGCAGAATAAATATCTAAATGTCTCACCAAAGCTTTTCTATGCTAATTCGCATTATGTGCTGTTGTGTAAAAGTAATAGCTTAATTTTTTAATAAGAATTAAATCCTGATTTACACTGATATTAAGTAAACCTGGTCATACAGATAATACGCAGCTTTTCAAAGACCAATAAAGACACTTTATTTATCTCGTTTATGTCACTAGATGACGCCATAGAACAAAAGTCATCAATAGCCTAACACAACTGTAAGATGAAATTAGTTAACCCTGGCTCTTTAACACTAATAGGCAGTGGTGTAGGAAGGAGTTGTAAAGTGTGGGTGCTTGGCTAGACATGCAGGTTTTACAATGAGAGACTGAAAGTATGAGGAACTGCTTTTAGCAGTTCCCGTGCTCCCAGTTCAATCTAGGAGGATTTGGGATCATGCCCCCGGAAAATTAATATAATTTACAGTTGCTATATAAGTCAAATATGTAAAGGTATGAGTGCTATAGCATCCCGGTTCCGACGCCTCTGATAGGCCATTGTAAGACAAAAATATATATAAAATGTTTACTTTTGCTGTCTTTAAAATAAAATTGCGCATTGCGAAAATATCGAACCAAGGAGAGTTGAAACTGCCTAAAAGGTGTACCTACTTTTACTACTGAAAGTTAAATGAACATACATGTACATAATCTAGCATGTTTATGCAACCTTGAACAGTAAGAAAAACTGATAATAAAGCAAGAGGTATAAGGTTTCGAATAACAACGCAGCTGGTAAATGTTTTATTTAAACATTTGAACAAGGATTGATCAAACATATTCATAAACTGAACGTAAAACGTGATAAAAATAGATAAGATATGAATACATACATATATATTCATTTGAGACTCTAATCTTCATTTTGAAATATTCACACACATAAAGATTTCGAATATAGTTCGTTTAAGCCTAATTAAGAGCGCATCTTTAACGTTCTATGAACTCTTTTTTTTTTTTTCTCATGAAGACGGGATTCACTTGTTTTACCGTATTCATTCAATTCACCTTAGGTATAAAAGTATTGTTGTGTGACGTTATCTATATTTAGATGTTAAACCTAACAAAATTATTTTGTTTTATTGTTCTCAAGAAACTCAGAATTTGTTCTTGTATCAAAAATCAACCTGAACTTCAACCACTAAAAGTTGGATGTTTGATTCTCAACTAAACATTTGTATTACAAAATAGATAATGTTTTTTTAGTTACACTAGGGCAAGGTATAACTCGAGCATATATTGCACTTTTTGATGAGCTGGGTGTAGCCAAGTGGTTAGAATGTCAGTACTGTGAATCCGAGCGAAAGAAACGCTCTCTGCAATTTGAGGCTGTGAGTGTACCGTAAGAATTAACCTTCATATCCCACTGTTTGGTCAGACAAGAGTAGCCTAAGAGTTATGGACGTTGTTGATTAGCTGTCTTCTTTCTTGTCTGCCAATTCAAAATTATGGACGATTATGCGCTGATAGTCTTTGTCAATTAGCTCTCAATAATCCAGATTGAAATAAAGTACAATTAGCTATCAGGAATCCAGTTTGGATTAAAGTGTCATCAGTTCTAAAAAATCTAATTGAATGAAATCAGAATTAGCCCTCGAGAATCCAATCTGAGATAAAGTATAATTAGCTCTCAAGAATCCACATTGAGATAAAGTATAATTAGCTCTCAAGAATCCACATTGAGATAAAGTATAATTAGCTCTTAAGAATCCACATTGAGATAAAGTATAATTAGCTCTTAAGAATCCAGAATGAAATAAAGTATAATTAGCTCTTAGGAATCCAGATTGATATAGAATATAATTAGATCTTAGGAATCCAGATTGATATAGAATATAATTAGATCTCAGGAATCCAGACTGAAATAAAGTGCAAAACATTAGTCAGTAAACCAATCTAAGAAACGAAAGAGGAAAAAAATGCAGCAAACGGTATCAAGAAAAATTTCCTGTATTCGCTGAGATTCGAAGACGAAAAACTTTATTTTAAAGCTTTACAGACTAAAAGTATACGCTCTGGTAAATGTACATATTTTTCTGGAAAAACTTTTGTATTCCTGAATTTTCTTTTGATTCCAGAGATTCTGTTATTTTTGTACCAGAATTGTTTCTATAGTCTTTCATACTTCAGGTATTTTATCACCAGTTACAGCAGCACTTATGCCTTGATACTTTTACGAGTGAAATATTTTAAGGACAAATAATTCGTTATCATACCATACAGAATAGTAAATTTTAAGAAACAGTACAATTTTACCAGATTACCATTATATAACATTTTAATAAACATTTCAGCCTTGCCAGAGAACACTGTTATTACTCAACCTTTACCAGAGAGCGATTGAGTAATTTTTAAGGTGCATATTTCAGCCTCACTTAATAACTTTAATTCAATAGGTCAACCTTACCAGACAATTTTTTTTTAGAAATATTGAAGATTTTTCAGATTACAATGGTGTAGGATTTAAAGAAAGCCCATATAGTTCCATGTGTTTTTAGTCCTCACAAACATGCACCTAATAACACATTATACGCCCCACAATGGCACAGCGGCGTGTCTGTGGACTTACAACGCAAGAAATCGGGTTTCGATACCCGTGGTGGGCAGAGCACAGATAGCCCATTGAGTCGCTACATGGTTTGATCTCAACCAAAAATATAAAACACTACTTATAAGTCTAAGAGGTAAGTATACTTGAGTGATACTGACAATGTCCTGAAATTAATGTGTTGTTGACACTTTCTCTCCATATAAACATTATTATAGTTTCTCATGAGTAGACGACTCAGGAATCGATTACAGATATTCATCCTCAGCATGCTTTGTCTACACCCATTTAATAGTGGACCTCTCCTTCGTTCATATTGCTCGAGCGCGTTGCTCGTGCCCTCGACAGTTCCCGCCTCAATCGGCGTGGAGAGCACGTTGAGTTTTGGTTCAAAAACTTTTCGTATTTATAAGTAAATGTTTTGTCGGTGTTTGTTCTGTGCCTTATGTATGCAGAGTATTTTGTGTTCTATAAACCATAACTTGGGCTGTTGTCTACAAATCGTAGATGTGATAGTACTGTAACGTCTGAATTTACCACAGCTTAGCTGTTTTGACTCTTCTAAGTCATAAACGGAAAAAAAAATACACTAGGAGTTTGACCCTTTTAATGTAAAGTAAGTATTCAATTGTTCCACTGTATAGACGTTTGGCAGTTCAGTACCTATCCTGGTTTAATGCATTTTTAGTGAAGAGTGTGAGTGGTAGTTAATGAGATGGTTTACTATTTGTTCTTGTATGTTTTCTTAATTTTTCCAGCCAAGGAACCCAGGAACGTTTAGTAAATTCTTTTCTGTTTTGTTTAATTCTTTCAGTATTATAAAGTCGTACTTCTATCATCCAGTGATTCAATCGGTCCGTGAATATCACAGTTACTGACCCTATGATAATTCTACGTTTTCTAGACTAAAGTGTTTTGACTAAGTGTACTTGGTTAGATATTTAATATACGCTCGTCTGAAGCTTTCATATACGTCAGCATTACAATGTTTTCGTCTAATAAGCTGGCTCCCAGAGGTTTTGGCCACATTTAGCTCAGAAGTTGGATATTCAAGCAAACTTTTTAACGACGTACATTAAATATGCAAATACAGAAAAAAAATCACACATAATAATAATAATAATATGTTCTGCAGTCAGAAACGAATTGCTTTTTTTCAAGTTACAATTGTGCTATGAACTGTGTGCTCTTGTTCTCTTCAAACTTTGATCTATTACTATTGAGTGTGTGTTTTTAATATATGTAAAACATGGAAAAATTGATGAACATCATTTCAGTTTTGACTATGTATAAATAAGGTATCAGAATGATTATAATAACATCTCCATTCTTTCTTTGTACTTCTTTCCATGATGTGTTTACTCTTATATTTTTTAATTTCACTTCTGTTAGAAGTGCTTATATAGATTATTTTCTAAAATATATTTCTAAATTATTACCTATTAGTACTTAAAGGTTTGTTCAGGCGGCGATTCAGTAAAGGAGACGTTAATCATAAAAGTATAGAAATTTCGTGTTTTATATTTGTTTACATTTTCGTATAAGCGCAAAACTGCATTGTGGACTGGCTAAGGAGTGCTCGCCGTAGGGATCTACCCGCGAATTTTTGCGTTACAATCACTCAAGCTTACTGCCAAGCCACAAGGGCGTACCAGTTTATAACGCGTGTATAGTCTGTAGTATAAGTTACCGAGTATGTGTAGGCATACAAGCTTAATAGAAACAGTGTTAAGATTTTATTCTAATTCTGTCTTATGTGTAACTAATAAATATTTTCTGAACTGTTGTTTCTACGTGTGAGTTACTGATTGGTTAGGCAAACTCAGTAAAATAACGTGTAACAATCTAAAGATCAGCAAATGTGTTTTTATTTGTAGATAATAATTGTTGTAACGGAAAGTATTATTTTAATTCACGGATGAATGTTCGTGTTTCTTCGAAATGTATTAGTAACATTTGAAAAGAAATTTTTAAAATATTATGTTTTTTTACTTTGTTTTATGCAAGCTTTAGAAGTAGAGAATGTTTTCAAGGGTATTCATTATACTTTGATTTGAATACAAATGCATATCTTAAAGGAATTTTTTATTTCATAAGCATGGTTGTTTTTCAATTATTGTATAACAGAAATGTGTCATTTCCAACCTTATTTTCTACCCAGTTTTATAACAGGTAAATTATGATATGTTCAACTGAATTAGCAGAATATATACAATGTATACCAGAAAACCTACAATATAAACAATGCTGATTGTTGTTTAAGTCTCATAACGTAAGTAAATTAATCTGTAGAATTATAAACATAATTTTCACTAACGTAGAGAAAAGTCCGTTTATAATTATAATTCTACATAAGCAAAGCTATTATATGTATGTACAAAATAAATAGTGCTGTTATAACTGAATACCTACAAGACAAACAATACTACCATATGTGAGTATCTACAAAATAAATAGTGCTGTTATTTCTGAATACCTACAAGGCAAACAATACTACTATATCTAAGTATCTACAAAATAAATAGTGCTATTATAACTGAATACCCACAAGACAAACAATACTACTATATATGAGTATCTACAAAATAAATAGTGCTATTATAACTGAATACCTACAAGACAAACATTACTACTATATGTGAGTATCTACAAAATAAATAGTGCTATTATAACTGAATACCTACAAGACAAACAATACTACTATATATGAGTATCTACCAAATAAATAGTGCTATTATAACTAAATACCTACAAGACAAACAATACTACTATATGTGAGTATCTACAAAATAAACAGTTTTGTATCTGAGTGCCTATTGATATAAATAATGCTATAATTGAGTTCCAACATAGTACGTTATGCAGTGTTTCAATGCCTGTATAATATATTGTGATATAACTGAGTACCTACATAGTAAAGTGTGGTACATATGAGAATCTATAAAATAAGTTATTTCACCTGAGTTTCTACAAAATAAATTATGCTACACCTAAGTTATACGCGTGAAGTTAAGCACACAACATACAAAAAAGCTTTTATCATTCTCTCAGAATATACAACTGAGTTACTACCACCATTTTGTACAAAAGAAAGTTTCTTTAAAAACAAAAACCAATATATTTTCCGATTTGTAAACTTCATTTTGCCTCAATCTGACATATAAGCCCCGTTTATCGCCTGTTTTATGTTTCGATAAAGTATTAGGCCAGTTGAAATGAGTTCCTTTTTTATTTTTGAGTTTCTAAAGAATATTTGATTCAAAATGACATAGAATGTGATTCTATATTTTTATTTTTCCTAAGTTATGCGCTCTATTAGTATTTGTATTACTGAAAATCTCAATGAAAATTAAAGTATACAGAATATTAACGATCTCACATTTTTCATATGTGTACTAAACCTTTATTGTTTGAATAAATAAATTAACTAAAGAAACGTGTGGTATATTATGATTTCCTTGGGATATAACGACTGTGAAGATCGAGGATAAGAATGAATTTCTTGGGTTATAACGACTGTGAAGATGAAGGATAAGAATGAATTCCTTGGGTTATAACAACAGTGAAGATGAAGGATAAGAACGAATCTTGGGTTATAACGACTCTGAAGATGAAGGATAAGAATGATTTCCTTGGGTTATAACGACTGTGAAGATGAAGGATAAGAATGAATTCCTTGGGTTATAACAACAGTGAAGAACAAGGATAAAATGCGTTAACGCGCTTATAAAATTCTAACACTGACATCCAACTATATAAAACAGTGTCGTGAAAAAGCTGACCTTTCTTCAAGGTTTACTAGCATGGTGGCGTTTGTACATAGCTTGAAGAGTTGAAATAGACGTTAGCTGAAATACCAGTATGTACAAAGTTTGGATCGAATGCCGTAGATGGCCTTGATTGCATAGTTAATCTGGATTGGTTTTATATTTCAAGTACAAAACATCTGTCTCTCTTTATGTATATATATATATATCGTTCAATGTTTTCTAAAATGCTTAGTTGGATATGAATACTATTTTTGAAGTATCTTGGGAACTTTGTGAAGAGGATTTTCAGTAGAACACGCTAAGCTCCATCCAGGAACATTCCATTCAGTTCTTATGCCTTTCTGTATATAAATTATATTGCACATTTTACTTAAGCGAGTTCATTTCTCTTTGTTTCTTGGTAGATATTATAAAACAATGTGAGGAAAACAACAGAAGCATGTGAAAAAACCGCACAAAGTTGTAGCCTGATAATTAAAGTTTTTATATTTTCTATACAAAAAACAACTAGAGTTTTATTAATATGGATAATCTTAAAACATTAACGAATCCAAGTAAATTGTATTATAAATTGATATGCATTTCGGTGCGTAGTTTACTTATATTAACTTAACCGTAATCTGATATTCTTTCATTTTTAACTAGGTGAAAAAAAATGTTTATCTTTCTTTCCCAACTCTCTTGTTTTTATCCTTCTTATTCTATTCACCTTCTCCGCATATATTTTTAGTCACCTAGATAGAGTTAGTAACATAAAGTAATGCTCTTTTTTTTCTCTCCGAACCTTTTTTCTTATACCGGCTTATTAAAACATTGTCTGCCTAATTTAGTAACATTGCAAGTTTCATATGTTACGTTTTAAAGGCTACGTGTGACTGCAGCGGTAAGGATCGCTTACTGACTTACCATACGAATCAGAATTGTCTTTGTAAACCTGTGGCTTTGGAATGTGCACGCGATTAAACAGATGGATAAGTGTTTGAAATCAATAATATTTTATATGTAAGAAGCTCTGGTGTTTAGTGTAAGAACAACAACAAAAAAAAGCATAACGATACCAATACGATCTTGATGGGGAAAAAATCAGTTGTGATGAAAGACTGTGTAAACAAATAGGATAAAAATAGCAATACGGAAACTTAAGGAATAAAAAATCAATTGTGATGAAAATGGTTTAATTGTTTTTCAGTACTCTGTTTTTACCAGATAATTTGATGAAACTGTTAATGGTAAAATGTATCACCATTACTACATCTAAAGGAAAAAAAGTACTTGTGTTAAAATCCTTGTTATTAATGCGTCGTTCACTCATCCTAAACATTTGAATTACTCAGTTGTAAACTAAAATATGAATCTACATCATAGCGTACTTATGAAACAGGTTGTTAATATTCAACCAGCCGTGCCGTGCACCAGGGATCTTAACATAGCATGGTTTATTTCAACCTCCATAGCTTAGCTCGTATTAAACTTGCAACAAGGCCTTTTCACTCTCCTTTAGTTATATTTCATGTTAATTGACGGTATGTTAAACATTTGTTTTAATAATCATTGGTATTTAAAAGAATTAATGTATATATTTTCGTTCATTCGTGAAGACGTGTAGAATGTGTAGTTGTTGTTGTTTGTAATTAAGCACAAAGCTACACAATGGGCTATCTGAGGGTATCGAAACCAGGATTCTAGCGTTGTAAGTCCGCACGAGAATGTGTAGTTATCCGAAAGTTTCTGTATTAAAATACGTGTCATATTCATAGGATTCCTAATTGAAAAAAAAAAAAATAGAATTGGGGTATATGCCCGTGCTTTATCTGGTCATTTAAAATTTTCTACATTAAAATATCAG